TTTTTATCTGAACATGGAATCCATCCACAGAGATTGTGTTGCTCATTAATGACATTACCTTGTTATTCTGATTCAGCTTTAGTACATGACATCTGCTTTGTCTTTCAGTGTAATCAGCACCAAGATGTTATTGTCCCTCTAATTATCTTTCTCCCATCAAATTTCTGGTACACCTATTATGTCAGGATCCATTAAAATCAGGCATCTAGTTTTTCTCTTCTCACTAATTGCTGTTGGAATGCTGGTTTAGGAACACGTACAGAACTGGCTTAGCTTTCTCTTTTTTCTGTGCTGTGTTTAGGTGAGACTTGATTTGTTTACTTGCTGTTTGCCATGTGCTACTTTAGCTGTGCCAGCCACTTTTTAGGCAATACAGAATTGTTATTGCTTCATCTCTCCAGGATGCACCATCACAGGCTGTGTAGAGAACGTGCAGGAGGCATCTCCTACCTCTGCCAGGACAGTCTCTCATTTAAAAAGGCCCCCTGTAAGATTCTGGGCTGTTCAATGTTCACTAGCCACGAGCATTTTCCTTCTGCAGGGTTTTGCCTTGTCTCAGCCTCTGGGCTGTCTGAAAAGCCTTGTTTATTTTGTGCATGGGAGTTTATCAGTGGGTAGGAAGCAGTGCAGTATGGGCACTGGTGTCTGGCCTGTGCCTTGCCATTCCTTGTGGGAATTGTTCCCCCAAATCAGGTACTCCAGAGCACTGGAGTAAGCTGGACCAGGCTGTAGCACACCTGTGAGGAGCTTGCCCTGGGAATGCTGCCCTGTGTCTGTGTGGCCATATCCAACACTGACACTTGATCCTGTTCCTGCAGCAGCTTCCCCCAGGGCTCCTCAGGCCACAGCCCCTCATTTCCATGCTGTGGGCACCCAGGTGCTTGCAAAGTCACAGCCTCCACCAGCACCATCCCAGAAACTGCTGGGGGCACCACATTTCCTGCAAAGCCCTGCTTTTCTCCAGCAAGATGCTCCCAGCACGAGTGCTGCTTCCAGCTGGTTTCTCTTGCCCAAGGAGCTGGGCTGGGCTCAGCCTGGGGCTGACAGCTGCCACTGACACATTCAGAGAAGGATGCAGGAGCTGGAATCCCCAGAGAGCCCCAGGCAGGGCAGGAACACCTGGGCATGTCCAGCTGTGGTGTTATGGAGTCCCTGGAGCCATTTCTCTGATCGTTTGATGGGACCCTTTGCTCTCCATTGTGGTGTCATGGTTTCCAGGTGCGATTTTTGGTCCTGGTTTCTTCCTCTTGAGCGTACCACTTGGGATTTCTTTTGGCACAGCTCTGAGGCCATGGGACAGGGATGACAGCAGGGAGGAGGAGTGTGGTGAGGAGGGTGCCAGCCTCAGTGTTCTGGTGTCACCACAACAGGGACAGAGCATCCCCGGCTGAACAGCTCACCCTTTTCTTCCTCAGGCAGCAAAATATGCAGCAGCAACAAAACTTTGATAAAGTTCTGTGGAGAATATCCCAGAAGCAATTGAGAACTGAAATATCAGGTCCAGCCTACTTGGACAGCTCCCTTCCAGCTCCTTTTGGGAATATTTGCTGTCTTACTGCTCCCGTCTGTAGTGAAAATTAGAGCACTTAGTGGCTCCCAACAGCTGCTTGTGAGAGCCCATTAAAAGTCCTGGCCACTGTAACCAGCTATTGCTCTATCATTTTTATCAATAGCAAATGTAAACTCTCATAGGAAAATGGTTTTTTTTCTTGTTAATATCTACCATCATGAAGCTGATTTTGCTAAGCAGCTTTGGCACAAAAAACCAGCAACAGCTAATAAATTCAATGTTAGGCTTATGAGGTTCTGACAGATTGCTGGCAGCTGCCTTAAATGCAGGAAAAAGCTCTCCTAGTGTGGGTTGGAAATGCTTATTTATACCATACTGTGGGTCTGTTTGCCCCAAATTTTGCTGCCTCCTTTTAGTAGATGTCATTGGTGAGATATATGAAAAGGGTACATTAACTGATCAGAGATACATTTTCCAGCTACTCTGGAGATCAGCACTAATGCATAAAGATAGGAAACTCAGCCATAAACTATTAGATTTTTACTGTAAGAATTTTCATTTATGAATGCAAGGTTTGTGGTAAGGATGTGACTAGACCTCATCATGGATGGTTTTATTCACTGGGAGTTTTTATGATAGGTATTTTTTTTTCCTATATCAGAAGGTTTTAAATAATCTGCAGGAGTTTAACACCACCTTGCTGTTAATTGGTGGTGGACTCAAGCAAAGATGGGCTGACAGCTACACTGAGTTTGTTCTCTTTGGATCAGGGAAAAGCTACTAAAAGGAAAACTTCGGGAAACCTGAGTGCTCAGCTGCAGTAATGGAGCTTGTATTGCAGACACATTTCACATAAACAACCACTTTTTGGTGGTAAGTGATGCTAAGAATATGTACAGAAAGTGAGTAAGTTGCAGTCTCATTGTGAAGATAAGTTCAGTCCCAAATTTTCCAGTTACACGATTGCCTGTGAAAACCAAAGTGTTTGAACTGAACTCAAATTTGCTATTCATTGTATTTCATCCTTTCTCATTGACTTGGACTGCCTGGAACTGAGTAGTTGAGAAGCCTCTGACCATTAAAGTTAATGCTGAGAGAGAGGATGAAGAAATTAAAGGAATGGGAAGCTCCTTCTAACTGGAAAAGAACAGATTAAGTGAAGACATTAAAGAATTCCTCATGAAAGTAACTCAGGCATCAATTTTTTCTTCACATGTGGTGAAAGTAGCTCTGCAGAGTATAAGGCTGATGGTGAAAATTCCAGATTAACCATGTTGCAGTGTCCAACTTGATGTATGGTTGTGGAATTTATCCTGGTTATGTTTATGAGTCTGATGGCCAGCACTTTCCATCTCTGACAAAGCATTCCCCTCTCCTTCTGTCAATATACCTTACAACTCCATGGAAAGTCTTCTGAAATAGATAGAATTTTCTTTATAACACTACACAGAAAGAGCCTTCCTTCCTCAAAAAAGAAAAATAGAATCGTCTAGAAATATGCACTGACATCATGTAGCAACTCTAAAATTCTCCTGGAAAAAAAATGCTGACAGCATTTCACACAACCAAAAGAAATCCTAAAAGTAAAGCACTAAATGCTGTTTTGGAAAGTGTGTGGGTGATGCCACCAAGCATTATGCACCATAATGAAGTTTCTCAGAAAGGGGATGAAGCAGAAAACCACCCCAGTGCCTTTAGAGCTGGCACCCTGGGCTTGCTCTGGTCTGTCACAGCCCTGGCATGGGCAAGGCAGGGAGCTTCCCTTCCCCAGCTCCTCTCACACCCTGTCACTCTCCATCCTCTCTCCTCCTGTGTCTCTCCTTCAGGATGAGCCCTGCTCCCATCCTCGTACAGAACTTTCCAGAACTTTGAGATCCTCACTGCTGTTCTGGGAGCTTCACTAAAAAGCACAAAATACTGCACAAAAAAAGCACAAAATACCCCACTGTATTCCAGAAAAGAGCAGCTTTCAGCTGTGTAGCTCTCTGCCCTGCTCCTGATAATACCTTAGGATTTGAGCTTTTATATTTTTCATATATTTGTAATCCTGTAATTCTTTAGTGGATAACTCTAAACTCCACACCCAGTGTGAGCTGCTGCTTTCCCATTCTGCTCAGACACAACAATTCCTCTCCAGGCTGGCAATCAAGGACACCTCACTGCATCAGGCCTCAAGAAATGTAAATAAAAGTGATTTGGGGGAGCAAACTTGGGGTAAATGACTTCATTACCTGCAGCTGTAATTGGAAGATTAACCCCAATATGCAAATAGACCAAACTTATCAAAGTGTGAAAACCTGTGACCCATTGTCCATTTTGGGTGTAGCCCCTGGGGGGTTTTGTCTGCCCTAAATGCACCTGAAGGCCCTTCAATAAATAGAAATGCTTTTTATTCTCTTAATTTTGTCTGGCCTCTGTTTTTAGCTAGCCCAAAAAGGCATCACTGAGTCCTTTTGCAATGTTTTCTAGCACACAGTTTGTTTTCTGGTGGCTGCTGAGTGTTGAGCTGGTGGTTTCATAAGAGCCTTTGTGCCCCAAGGTCCCATTTGTGTGTGTGAGATTTAACTGGGAGCCCATTAGCGACGCTAATCCCAGCCTTGTTCTTCCCTTATGTGCATAATTTATTTGGGTCTGCTTACAATGAATTTCACAGAGGCTCTGTGGCTGTTCCTCTCCCTGCAATATTCCCCTGCTTTATTAGCAGTAATTGCCTTTCTTCCCTTTTTCCAGTGGATCAGCAATTCAGGCAAATTGAGGAAAGTTGTTCCTTATGCCACTTACTGCTGCTCCACCAAGCCTGAGGAAGGCACCCTCTACCCAAAAGGTTTTGGGATTGTCTCAAGTGATCTGACAAAATATATGGGGCACCTCATCAGCTGGGACCAGGATGGGCTCTGTTCACTTTAATTGAACTCTACACATTTGTTTCCCTTATAGATTTTCAAATGTGGGGTGAATTGCTTCTGAAAATGAAAGAAATCTCAATATTTAATCAATGAAACTCCAATACCAGGGTGAGGAAAACAACCTGTTTCTGCACACTTGAATATATAACTTTTCACAAGGGTAAACCAACCAAAGAAGCATCTGGATGTTTCCTTCTCACAAAGAGATATTTGGTACTGTGGCTGTATTTTTCTGACCATAAATTCTTCATGGCCTGAGGAAACCATGCAGCATTTCCTTCCTCACTAGAGGAAGAAGGGAAATGCCTGTCTTACAATAGAAATCTTTATTTTTCTTCAAAAAAGCCATCTGAGTTAAGATCAAATAAATGACAGACGTGCATAAAGCGAGCAAACAGCTGTCACAAACCCTTGGTAAATGTTTCTGCCTGTGTGTAACGTGGGTGACACGTGGGTCCCCGTGTGCTGAGGCACCCTGGCACCCAGGTACCACAAGACAACACTGATGCATTTACACCCTGCTCATTTACATGAACATTGCACAATCTGTAAAATGGGAAGAAGTCTTGGCCGTGTGGTCTTACCTTTTTCAGAAGCCGGGGCAAGGTCAATAAAACTTCGACATTTTTCACCTTGAAAAGAAAAGGATTTATTTTAGGAGACAGAAGTTGGTTGGTGTCTCTCTGCCTCCTCTTCCTGCCCTCACTCCCACCCCAGTGTCCCCAGGACCTCGGGGTTGTCTCACCCTGGGGACAGACATTCCCCTGTTCCTCCACCCTGCCCAAACCCACTGTGCCCGAGGGCTGGGCTTCCCCTGGGATTGCAGCCCTGGATCCAGGGTGTGGGTTACAGGGAGAGAAGGAAATCCTTCCTTGCTGGGCCAGTGATGCTCCTTGCCAAGGCATGAGCAGTGCTGGGCTCTGGAGGGTGGCACAAACACCTCAGCAGGTGGCACTGAGGGCAGGGGGCTCTTTCAGACACACTCCTGCCCTCCTCCATCTCATCACCAGACAATGCCTGTGCCTTTCTCACCCACACTTCTGCCCTTTCTCACCCACACTTCTGCCCTCCTCCCCTCACCACCCACCCAGTGTGCCCAAACCTCCCAGTGCTGGGGGCACTGCCATGGCACTGAGCTCTCCATAGACACATGTGACACACACGACTAAGACAAAACCCGAAGCACAAAGAAGCTTAGCAAATGTAGAAATGTTTTAAAAGTTTAAAAAGGAGGCAAATGCCTCGCTCTGAGCAGTGCAGCCTGTGCCACTCCCTGTGCTCCACTGAAAATTAAACTCTCTGTGTTTAGGACCCCACCTTTGGCCTTGCAGAAATTCTTGAGAAGATTCTGAACAGGAAATGTATCTTAGGGTGGATGCTTTGACTTTTCTTTTTACTTCTTCAGGTAACCAAAGATGATAAAAGAATCCCTCTGCCCTGGGTGCATCTCTCCACCAAGTGTGTGTGTTGCTGTCAATATGATGTGCTCCAGGGTGTGCTGGCACATCTGCCAGAGGTCATGGAGTAGAGTCCATTTTGCCCTTTAAGACTTCAATTGATGCAAAGGCAGTTATAGGACTAGGCTGTTTTTTTTTTAATTAGCTTTGCTCGTTTTTAATTGCAAAGTTCAAAAGACTAATTTAGGAAAGGTGAGCCATTAAAAAAGAATAAACAGTGAAATGCCACAGTGATGGTGAAGTCAGTGTATTTTTTTCTTATTTGTAATTCAGTATACATAAAAACCACTATAAAGTGTTCATCTTTCTTGTGTCTTTGCTGGCAAGATTGAGATGAACCTAATCATTCAAATGATAGCTGTACTGACATAAGAATCTATTATTATAATGCTGTTATTACTACTTTTTATTTACTTTTTGCAACTTTAAATCTATGCTAAATACACTGAGAGGTGATGTGTACACAGTCCATTTTCTATGTAGCTATAAAAGAAAAGGTTCACTTGACATTGAAATGCACTTTTTGATACGTCCAGGGGAATGATTTCTACCCTGTGAACCCAGAGGACAGCCAAGAAAAGGAAATGACACTTGGCTTGCCAAAGCACCATCTCTGTTTCCAAAGGGGTGGGCAGGGCAGGCTGTGTCTGAGCAGAAGTGCCAGGTGAGTGAGTCAGAAAGTTTTGGGGCACACAGATGGAAAGATGAGTGAGGGATCACAGAAATGACCAGCCCTGCACATTTCCTCACAGAGGAGTGATCACAAGGATCACAGAGCAGGGCCGTGACTTTTCCCACACAGATTCTGAAATGCTTCAAGGATGGTGACAGCCATCCCTTGGTGACTCAAAGGTGGAGCTTCTTCCCACTCTGCTCCATTTCTGCACAAGTGTTTCCTTATACCCAGTGCAAACTTCCATAGCTGCTCTGGCATCAGTGTAGTCATCCTTTCTCTGGTTGTAGGGACATGAACAAGCCCAGCTCCCCCAGGTTCTCTACTTTAGGTTCCTGACCAAGAAATCCAGATAAATAAGTGGACTATAAAATATAGTAAGGTGTAAGTGGAAAACATTCTCATCCAGAGCCTCTGAGTTTTAGGGCATGAGGTTTCTCAGGAATTTTATTGACATAAAATCAAGGGAGTATAGGGAGAGTGACCTCTAGATTTGGACTTGATATAAGCAGATTAAGCAGGATTTTTCATTCTAGCCATATGGATCTGACGTTTGGGTCTGGGTTTTCTGGTGTTTTGGTTTTTTTTTTGGTCAGATGTAAGTTATTACTTTTATCACAGTTTTATTTGAACCTGACTTCAAGCTGTCTCTCACTGATCATCCCTCACTTGTGGTACAGTGAATCCAAAGCCATATTACTGGAAACCTTTAACAAATACCTGACTCTCCAGAGTGTTATCCCAAGAAGGCAAAGGGGGATGGCCTTTGCTACTAGAAAAACTGCAGAGGCTGCTCTGAGAGCTGGTCAGACACCTGGCAAGGGACAGTGTTTCTCTGAGTGCTTGGCTCTAGGTGCCTTATCTGCAGGACAGAGGAGAGGGTGGTCACAGGCTGTTGGGAGGAATGTGCATCCTCTTCCTCCCTCAAATTCAGCTTGCCCAGAACACCATCTGTCCCCGTGGTGAGGCCTCCAGTTTAAATAACAGAAAGTGCTGGAGTGTCCAGAAAAAGTCCTTTAGGAGTCATAGGGAAAAGAAAGAATGACTGGAGACGGAGAAGAGCGAGGATGTCACCTCACTTTGAATGGCTGATTGTGCCAGGCTTGCTGCTGAAGGTCATGGTAGGAGCTGCAGCAGCAGTTCCTGACCCTCCCCTTTGCTGTTCCTGCTGCTGGAACACTGGAAAACCCTCTTCCATTTTCAATGGTAACCACTGGTGGTATTTATAAAGCACAGCCACACTTGCACATGCAGACATGCATCTCGCTGAGAACTGAAGATGTCAGCAGTGCTTTCACTGTTCCTCTTAGGATTTATTCTAAGTTATTTTTGGGTATCTTGTATAACTGATCTCTTAAGCCCTCTTAAGTTTAATTTTAGATTTGGCAGAGTTTATCCTGCTGTGCTGTCCTTTTCCAGATGCATCTTCTCCCCCTAACCAGGCTCCTGGAGAGTCTTTGGAGAATACAGAAAAGGCTGTTCAGAGAAGCCACAAGGAGAGTCTCTGGGATTCATCCCCTGACAGTCCTGCCTTCACCTGTTAGTGGCTGTGATCCTGACAGAGCAGAAAGCCAAGGAGTGACCTCTCCTGCCCTCCACTCAAGCAGAAAGAAGAGCTGGGACCTGGCTGGGGTTCTCTGCACTTCACACGGGAGCAGTGGCCATGAGCAGTGCATGTGAGCTCTGTGGAGCTCAGCAGGGACAGGGAACTGCTGGAGGCTGAGGACAGAGGGCTCAACAACACCTGAGCAGCCATGAGCAAAGAACTTGGCACCAGCTTCTTCTGTGGCTTCCCAAGGGTGAGGTAGAAACATAATCTGTGCAAGTCCTTGCAAATGCACCCCCCAATCACACTGACCCTGCACGGGCTCAGCTGGGCTTCCCAAGGAGGGGACACGGGCCACAGGCATCTGCAGGACTGGGAGCTAGCCAGACTCCAAAGTTTATCTGTGGCTGATTGATGCTGATTAATTGATCTAATTCTGCATATGTGCATGTCTATGAGTATTTGTAACTTGCTGGAGAATTTCGAACTGGAGCAGCCAGAGAGTGGGAGGAGACACATCTGGAAAGACTGAGCTGGTGGGTGGGAAGAGTCTCGAGTTTATGTGGGTAACAGATGTAGAGCCCATGGAAATATCTTAGGGACCACCAGTGTGATGTCCCCATGCATCTGCAGGGGCGAGAGGTGGAGATGTTCCAGCAGGATCTGCACACCTGGACAGGCAGAGGAGGAAGAGGTGCTGGCTGATGTTCCTGTGGGTGCTGATGATGGCACAGCTCTCTCTGAGGGCTTGTGTGGTCAGAGACAGCAGTGTCAGGCTTGCACACGTGTGTGAGTGTGTGTGTGAGTGTGTGTGAGTGTTTGAATACTTGCCCAGCCTGGATGGGAAGGGCCCAGCAGCAAACAGATGAAGGAAAAGGAATTCCCTGGCCCTTAAAGTCCCCAGGCTCAGCTTCCTGGGATCATGCTCAGCATCCTCTCAGACTCTCAAGCTCTCTGGGACTTCTCCCAACCCACTGCTCTGCAGCTGGAGAAGATCCCTCAGCCCTGCAGGGTGAATCCTTTCCAGCTCCACACACCCCGTGGGCACTGGGACTCTGCTGGAGCCAAATCCTCACACCTTCCCAAGGCAGAGCTCAGAGCCCAGCACCTCTCTAGCCTGAGCATAATATGAAAACCCAAGCTTCCCCAAGATCAATCCTGCCAGAAAATCGAGGCAAACAGGTTCCAAAGAGCCATCAGGTCCCACGGTTTGCTGGCTCCAGGGCCCTGCCCTGCCCATCTTTGGGTACATCACACATGCCTGCCTGTGGCTTCCAGCCTGCAATTCCTGCCTGGGCCCATGGAATCAGCTGGAAGGCAGGTCTGAGTGCACATAAATTGGGTCTGAGCTCCAGCATTCAGATGTTCATCCAAGCCCTGGGAGACCCACATTCTAATCCTTCTGCCACTAAAAGTGTGATTTGTTTGCTCCTGTCCTCAGGACCTCACACAGGAACCTGGTAGTTTAGACCAGAAATGAGGAAGAAGGCAGAAAAAACACCCAGAAAGTGCTTCAGCTTCAAGACAATATTCTGTTTCTAACATGGCTATTGTCATAACAAAGAGCAGAATTTGATGTTCTGGGTCCTACTTATTGGTCCTGCATTCCAGAGTTCTTTCCTCTCTGAGCCAGGGGTAAATGCCTGATTAATAATGAGAGCAGCAAAATAAAAACAACCCTGAGAAATCCTACTTTGTATGTCTTGCAATGACACGGTTTGAAAATATTCAAGTTAAATAAATTGACTTAAAAGAAGTCTGGTAGTTCTGGCTTAACTCTGTTATAACTCTGCTTTTCATCTCACCAAGAAAAAGGAAGAAAGAAAATCTGTCTGTATCCACTTACTCTGCATAAAATTTTACGAGTTCAAAAGTGCAGTTATGATGGAAATTTAAATGATTACATTTCTTTTAAACAACATTCCCTTTTAGTAACACCCTGGCTCCCAGCCTACG